CAGCCCAGCACAAAGGCACAACCCAGGAAGGCACAGCCCAGAAGCCTAGAGCCGCAACCCATGTAGCACTCAGACTCACGTATTGACCCGCTTGTAGGCCTTGACCAGCGCCCGTCTGCTTCGCCCGACTCGTGCTCGTCTACTTCATGCCTTGACCCGCGCGCTGACCCGCGTGTCAATCTGACCCATTTCCAACCGGTTCAAGCCGGTCCGTCCCAACCCTTAAACCGGCAGAACCTTTTCCAAGGGGCTTTTCGGCTTGTTCTTATTTATTTCAAAGCCATTTGCAGTCATTCAAAAGCCAAAATCTTCAGAATTCTTTTAAGATGTTTTCTGTGGATCATTTGTATTGAATTTCCCAAAGATATAATCAAACAAGGAGGCTATCCAAGGGTGTTACCTAAGGAAAAATAGGAAAAGGAAATATTGAATAGGTGTTATTGTGTTCCGTGGGCTCGTATCTTGTTTTATAAGACGCATAAGAAGAGAATTGGGTTTAATTAGCCATTGGGTTTCCATCATTCTTCTTATCCAAGGCAAGGAGACCGCGTTGCGCCGCCAAATTGATATTTTGCTTATCGCGGGGGCCGACTCAATAACTACAAGTCTCAACCTTATTAAAAAAAAAAATTCTGTTTATTTTAATTTTATTTTATTTTATTTTTGTGTATCCACACTTGTTCCTTTTATTGTAACACATTTTTAGAATGGCTATTAAAAGTGCTATTGATGCTTCAAGAATTGATATGCTTAATAGAAATAATTTTCGAGCATGGAAACATCACATTTCTTATCTTCTTACACATGAGAAAACTTTGTATACTTTATCCACTTATAAACTAGATGATAATTCTAATTGGTTTCAAAACAAGTGGATAGAGAATGATGCAATGGCAAAGGAAACTATGTCACATAATATGAAAGACAACATTATTCCACTATTTGAAGAACATGAAACTGCAAAACAATTGATGGAAGCACTAGACAGTAAGTATAGAGTTCGATCAGGCACTCAAATTCAATTGCTCTTGGACAAATACAATAACACTCATATGAGTGATAATGACAGTGTTGGTGATCTTTTTAATCAAATGGAACTAATTGCCAATACTGATTACTCTCTGTCGGACAAGATGCAAGTCATTACCATACTTAATAATCTTCCATTGTCTTGGATCATGTTGTTACATCTTTAACTCATAGCGGACGAGAGATTTCAATTGTGACATTATCTGTACTCTTAGTTTTGGAAGAAGAAATAATGAAGCGAAGACACAAAGAATGATTGTTTTCTAACTTGTTGATGGCACAATCTTCGACACAACCACAGAATAATTCCCACATCCCATTTAACAAGAGGAAGACTACTCATTTCAAGAAAAGATAGAAGAAAGGGTTCCAAAAAGGGTGGCAAAAACAACAGAACAACAAGAACCAAGTTGGCCCATGCTATAATTACAATCACAAAGGTCACATCAAAGCCATTTACCCTAAAAATAACCAGAAAAAGGATCCTAACCCATTGTCATGAAGGTTTCTGAAGTAATGGTAATTGAACATTCATCAAATTCATGGTGGATTAATTCTGATGCAACTAGACATATAGTACAAAGCAAAGAAATGTTTGTGGATTTTACTGAAAAGAAGATTGGTGAACACATAGTCTATATGGGCAGCAACTCTTACAGTGATGTTTTGGGCATCGACAACTATCAATTCTTTATTAATGGATCTTCCATCGTACTTCATGATGTGCTTTATGTACCCAACATCTGACGAAATTTAATTTTAGTTCTAGTGTTAACCCAAAAGGGTTTTGAGATTACTTTTAGACTTGACAAAGTGTTGATCAAGAAAGGAAATGTATTAGTGAAAGGTGTAAGAGTGAAAGACATGTACTCTCTTCCTATTGATAATAATAAAGTATGTATTTTTTATTATTGGCATGTTTCTATTAGTTATAGTTCTTATTTATGGCATTTAAGATTATGTCACATTCATAAAAATAAAATGTCCAGAATGATTAAAAGTGGCCTATTGCCTAAAGTATGTTTCGATGATTTTGATACATGTGAACTATGCTTCAAAGGAAAAATGACTAGCAAGCCATTTTCAAAACATTCGAAATCATCGGAATTACTTGAAATAATTCATTCTGACATTTTGTTGCCCTTTAAGAACTAAGATTCATTAAGGCATGAAATACTTTACTACTTTTACTGATGATTATTCAAGATATGGACACATCTACATTCTTAAACACAAATAAGAGGCAATTGAAAATTTTCAAGAATATAAATTAGAGGCAAAAAAGTAACTTGGTCGGTCTATTACAAACTTGAATAATGATAGAGGTGGAGAACATGAAGCTATGGATTCTTTCTGCAAGGAGAATGGCATCAAACATTTGTTTATAATGCCTTACACTCCACAATAAAATGGAATTATAGAATGATGAAATTGTACTCTAATGGAAATGACAAGATTTATGATGACTCATGATGACCTTCCTATTCATTTTTGGAGAGAAGCCAGACCTCTCACTCTCGCGTACATATTAAATAGAGTTGAAACAAAAGCCAAACCTCTTACTCTTTATGAACATTGGAATGGTACTAAACCTAATGTTCTAAATCTAAAAGTTTGGGGATGCAAAACATGCATGTACTTATTCCCAAACCTTTAAGGGATAAATTAGGAAGTAAAACTTGGGAATGCAAGTTTATTGGTTATGTAAAAAATGAGAGTGGTTATCATTTTTAGCATCTCGAACGTGGATTAATAGAAAGTAGAGATGATATTTTTCTTGAATCCACTGATCTTGTTACTCTAATTGAGCAAATTGAATTGCTCTCCGTGGTATCTCTAGATTCTTCTCTCCCCTATTTGTCACAAGACCCACCAGTTCTCACCGATCAACCTCATAATAGGAGGAAAAGAAAACAAAGTGACATTTTACCTAATTCGAATCCTGAGATAAGTGGGAGTAAGAGAGCAAGACATCCATCTACATTTACGTTTTTGAAAGACCATTATGTTTTTCAAGTTGAAGAACTCAATAATTTGGTAGATGATCCTACTAGTTATAATGAAGCAATGAGTAACAGTGACACTACACAATGGCTTGAGGCTATGAATGAAAAACTTGATTCGATCAAGAAAAATGATGTTTAGGAATTAACTAATCTCCCAAATGAAAGAAAAGCCATTGGTTGCAAGTGGGTTCTTAGAAAGAAATTCAAAGTAGATGGGAGTTTAGAGAAATACGAGGCAATGCTAGTAGCCAAGGGATTCACTCAACAACCTAGAGTAGACTTCGTAGATACATATTTTTCTGTTGCAAAATTTGCCTCAATAAGGATTTTAATGGTAGTCGTAGCTAGGATGGATCTAAAATTGCATCAATTAGATATTAAAACAGCTTTTCGTAATGGAGAATTAAAAAAGGAAATTTATGTGATTCAACCTGATGGTTTCCAGATCCAAGGCAACGAAGATAAAGTCTACAAGTTAAAAAGATCCCTGTATGGACTCAAACAATCTTCAAGACAATGGTACTTGAAATTCCACCAAGCCATTTTAGAAATGGGCTATGTTATGAGTCCACTAAATCATTGTGTTTATATCTGGAAAAATGATGACAAGTTAGCAATATTGTCTTTATATGTGGATGACATATTGTTAGCAGGAAATTGTCCAGATATGATTATAAAAACCAAAACTTTCTTGGCATCTAGATTTGAAATGAAAGACATAGGTCTTGCAACCTATGTTCTAGGAATTAGAATTGCAAGAGATAGAAATTCAAAGTTATTATATCTAGATCAAGAAAAATATCTTGAAAAGGTGCTCAAAAGATTTAATATGGATAATTGCAATTCTTTAAGTACACCTGTTTGCAAGGGACAAAGTATACAAAATTTGCACGATAAGGCGGTAACTAGTGAGATCCTCAGGAAAAACATTCGGGTATTCACAAACTATCTTTGGCATATCAACTCGGACTTCATCAGACTCACTACCCGCAAAGGTTGCAAGAAGACAATTAAGCTTAATCCGACCACGCGGATTATACACTGGCGACAAGACTCTATCAGCTCGGTCCCCCATAAAATAAAAATAATCACCACTCAAGGTTCATATAGTGATCCTCTGACGGTAACAGTCAATAATGGCTCGGTACGAAGACAACCAATCTATGCCCATGATGGCATCAAAACTCGACATACCAATCAATGAAAATGAAAAAGGAAGTCGACGACCGACGACCGACAACCTCTATATCATAATCTCGACACCCTTGGTCCAAAACAACTTCACCACTAACTCTCAGTGGAGATGCTAACTGAGCCATTTCTAACCCCAATGCCGATGCAAATGCAGACAAGATAGATGAATGAGATGCATCCGTATCAATCAACACATTGGCAATATAATTGCATAACAAGAAAGTACCTCTCACAACTGATGGTGCTGGCACTAGGTTTGGCGTGGTAACATTATACACACATCCCGTAGGTCTCTGCTCCACCTGCTCACCCCTCAGAACATAAGTTTGATGCACTGACTAAGCTGAAGAGACTCCTTGATTAGCCCTTGAGGCCTGTACTGATTGGGTAGACTGATGGCTTTGTGTCTGCCTCGAACCAGACGCACAAGGTGTGCCACCCAACTGAGGGCAAAACCTCTTCATATGCCCTGACTTCCCACACTGATAACAGGCAAGGCCAGCCTTGAGATTTGTGGGGCCAAAGGCGTACTATGAAAATGGGGCCCCTCTAATATATTTTTTTTTTAATAAAAAATTTATGCATAAAATGATAAGTATCAACAAATTTTTTATTTAAGTATACTTGAACATATAATCATTAAAATTATAAACTAAAATTTACTTTCATATATTAAGATAGGAAGAAATCAGTACAATGACTCAAAAACATTAAAAACTGGTTTTGTTGCTTTATAGTTTAGCAATATCCAGCTTACAATTAACCCAACGATCACTTAAATACTACTCTTCTTGCATTTTTAGCTGCAAAATCACTAATTAAGTTTGTATAATCTAATTTATCTACCAAATCCTTTTCAATAGACAATATAGCTAATCCATTCAATATTTCTTGTGACATTGTTGATCGGAGGTAGGATTTGATCAATTTTAACTTTGAAAAACTTCTTTCTCCAGAGGCAACTGTAACTGAAATAGTCAATAATATTCTATACGCAATCCAGGCATTTGGAAAACAACCATCCATCAATTTCAAATAATTCATCACCTTAATTGGCTTATTGATTTCTTTTGGCAAAATTTCTTTGAAGACTTTCAACTCAGAAAATAAATCTCTCCCATCAATATCCATAAGCCCATCATGTTTCAAAAAGTCTTCAAGATTAGCACAATAAGTCTTCAAGCACTCATCATTGGTAGAATTTAACTTCTTTAAATCAAACAAAAATCCAAAAGTTTCTTCATATATTTGAAATTGTTCAAATCTACTCTTAAGTGAAGAAAGAGCTTGATCTATTATATATATGAAATAATTAACTCTAAAGGATTCTTCAGCTGATTGTGCAACCTCTTCACTAACATTCTCATCAAAATGTTTCTTTTTACGAATGACACGCCTTTCACGAAATGTAGGTTCAATCTCCATTTCAATTGCAACTTTTTTAGCTTCAATCATGGCCTCCAAAAATCCAGTTTCTCTATACTTTTCAAGAAATGTAATGAGTCCTTTTAATTGATGTATAGCAGCATCAATATGCATGTCTTCAGCTTGAAATGTCTTGCTAACAGAATTAACAGCAAACAACAGATTGTGCCAAATAATCATGCCAAGCAAAAACTCAAAGTTCTCATTTTCAAATGTAACTAAGGATTCAGCTTCACACTTTGTATTGGGCTCATCAGCTTCTTTTTCCAATTGAATTAAAGCATCTCTAATTTGTGGAGCTTGGTACCGTATAGTTTCAACACTTTCAATTCGACTTTTCCAACGAGTTTGTGATAATGGCTTAAGTATGAGACCTTCCACATTGTCTTTGAAAATTTTCCACCTCTTTGTAGAAGATGAAAACAACACATATATGCGTTGTACCACTCTAAAGAAATAGATAGCTTTGGAACAAGAGGTAGCCATATCACAAAGGGCAAGATTAAGACTATGACACCCACATGGCGTGTAGAATGCTCTTGGATTTATTTCAAGTACTCTTTTTTGTACACCTTTGTGTCTCCCTTTCATATTAGAGCCATTATCATATCCTTGCCCTCTTATATCACCAATATCAAGCTGGAGTGTGTGCAATGCCTCTCTAAGTACATTAAAAAGTCCCAACCCCGATGTATCATCCACTTTCAAAAATTCTAAAAAGAATTCTTCTACCTTTACCAGACTAGTTGAAACATCTACACATCTTATCATAAGAGACATTTGTTCTTCATGACTAACATCTGGAGTACAATCAAGAATAATTGAAAAATATTTCGCTTCTTTGATTCTTGCCACAATCGTACTCTTGATCTCACTCGCTAACATCTGTATCAATTCATTTTGGATTTTGTGGCCAAGATAATGGTAATGAATTTCACTCCTTTGAATACGTTGAATGTTCTCTTGCATTACTGGATCAAATTTAGCAAGCATTTCAATTAAGCTTAAAAAGATTCCACTTCTTTCTTGATAAATCTTCTCATTGTCTCCACGAAAAGCTAAATTATTTTTAGCAAGAGTGATCACAATAACAATTATCCTTAGTAACACTTGTCTCCAGTGTTCCCTCTCTTTGTTGATTTGTTCTTGAACACTTCTATCAATTGTTTCATTCTTCTTCAATCTACTTTCCAATTCAATCCATTTGCTCATGCAAATATTGTTCTCATTACTAGTTTCATGACTTCTAAGCCTGTTGCCCATATTCTTCCAATCTTTCAATCCATCAGTAGCCAAATGAATGTTGTTCCCATCTTGCTTAAACAACTTGCAACAAAAGCAAAACACTTTGTCTGAAGCATCTGAATATACTAGCCACTTCATATCCTGCTTCTCTCCATTTTGTAACTGTCACATGTAAAATGTAAAACAAAAATGCCTTTCTTTGTCATCTAGGGTAAAATTCACAACATTACCTCTTATAGGACCTCTTTCAACTAGTAAATCGCTTAAATTTTGATCAATCTTGTCCCAATTACTAGGGTCATAAATGTTTAGAGGTCCACATTCAACATTGACATCTTCACTTTCACTAGATTCTACATTCCCCAAATCTTCATTCTCATTCTCATTCTCATTCATATGTTCACTAGGTTGTTCAATCACCAAATCATCATTCTCATTATTATTCACACAATGAGTAGGTTCTTCAATTACCAAATCTTCATCATCATTGTCATTTGAACCCAAAATATCTACTTGTTTCTTGGTACCAAAATATTTATCAAGTGCTCCCGATTGAGATTGAATTAATTGTTCTACTTTCATCCTCTTCTTTCTCTTTTCATTTCCAGAACTATACTTCCTAGGAAACATGGCTATAATCACAAACACTTTAATCCACAAATCACAAACACTTCAATCTACAAATCACAATTCACTGATCTGATAGCAAATAAATTATAAAAAAATAATTTAATGAAACAAAATTAGGGCAAACAAATTATTTAATTAAAACTGATAAATACCTAGGTAAAAAAATTAGGGCTAAATTATTTATTCCACTAAAATCTAATGGATAAAGAAGGTAATAAAAAAATTAGGGCAAATTTATTATTCCACTAATTGATAGAGAAAGAATATATAAAAAAAAAATTAGGGCAATTTTATTTAATAAAATCTGATAGTGAGAGAGAGGACTTACATGAGAGAGAGAGTGTGTGAGAGAGAGTGAATCGTCAGAGGAGGAGTGTGTGAAAGAGGGAGAGTGAGTCGCTCACAATGTGCTATGCTATGCTCTGCTCTGCGTCTGCCTGCCTTCAAGTTGGTGTACATAAAAGTCATTCATTTCATTTCATCACTTCGATTCGTTAAAGAAAGATTGAAAGCAGAAGCACTCACCACACTAGCAGTGCACTGGACATGTATTGCATATTGTATTTGTATGTATGGTTTGGGTTGGGCCTAAACACATTTTCAGTTTTTTTATTTTATTTTATTTATTTATATATTTTCATTTTAATAAATATGGGCCAAACACATTTATAATAAATATGGGCTAAATTATACATGGGCCCAATAAAACATTTGGGGCCTTTTAAATTGATTTAAAAAAAAAAAAAAAAAGTTGGGCCTATAACAATTTTTAAAATTTGGGGGCCCTATTTTTGGGCCTAAGGCACAAGCCTTACCTACCTTAGGGCAGGGCCGCCCCTCATAACAAGTAGGCGGCTGCCCTCTCCCCTAACTCTGGCTCTGAGGGCAAGCCGAAAACAGTGTAGACTATTGCCCTCCTTCTCTCTACGGGCAAGCTGGAGACTTGTGACCCATCTGGCCACACTTAAAACAAGTGAAACCTCCCTGAATACCTCTCCCTAAACCCGAACTCGAAATAGTAATGGTGGATCTAGAATGTGCTACCTGGGATTACTGTGGGTTAGAACCTCTCTGCTTTTTACTATCCCTATTCTCTCCCTGAACCTCCTGACTTCTCTGCCTAGAGCCCTTCATCCTTTCATCATCAATCTGAATCATGGTCTCTAAGTGAGTTCCCGCTTCCACAAGACGACCATAATCCCTAATCATGGACTCGACCACCTTGAAAAGGAGTCCGACCCTCAACCTTTTCTCAAACTCCAAACAACGGCGTTCCTCCATCGCTACCAACTCCGGTGCAAACCTCAACAAGCTAGTGAATATGGCCTCAAACTCAACCATTGGGGTGTTAAGCTGCTTGAGTTTCAAGAACTACTCCCTCAACATCTCCCTGACAGTGTGAGGCAAAACCTTTGTCTTGGAAGGCGTTGACAAAAGCCTCCCAAGTCACTCTAATGCATCCCCGCACAAACTTCCATCACTGACCCGCATCTCCTTTCAGCTGGAAGGATGCCAAGGGCACTCTCAACCCATTATCCTCAATGCCAAGCATCTTGAATGTCTTCACCATTTGCTCGAGCTATTCATCCGCTTTTAAAGGCTCTTTAGGATCCCCCAAAAACTTGTCCAGGTTGGACTAGAAGAACTCTCATTCAAGAAAGACGGCCCTATCTCAGCAACATGGGCCTGGACTTGATTCTCAACCCTAAGAATGTCCATGGATTCCCGCAAAGCTCCGACCATTTCATGGGCCAAAGCACCCATGGCCTGCTAACCAACCGGTTCGGCCACATTGGCCTGACTAACACCTTCTTCTTAAGTCGGAATCTCATCCGGTAACAGCACCTCATGCCATCTAGGCCTGCCACACCTACCACCACCACGTCCACGTCTTGACATCCTAATAAAGGTAACATCCAAGATTGGCACATTTACAAATGTGCCGAAACTAACTCACTCGTGTCCTAAAGCGACAAACAACAATTAATTCACTCTACATAAGCATGTAGTCACATAAACACATACGAATTTCTTTCCTAGATAATGATCATCCCGTGATATTGCTAGAGTTCCAATTAGAAATAGCAGTGATCAAGTGCTCTTCTAACAAGACTTCCAGAAACTCATAGACCCAATCAATATCTTAGAAAATAAATTTCATACCCATCTTGTCACATAAGCATGTTATCACATAGCATATCAAACATACAAATATCCCTATCAAACAAGATAAATCCATTGTAGTAAGAACCATTTTTCACGTACCTAAAGTATTCAAACCCCGTACACTCTGATACCAAGTTGTAACGCTCTGAAAATATAAATGATAAACCATGATGTATAATCAAATAAGACAATGCGTTTCCAAAATAAATATCCTTTCCATTTATATATGATTTGAATTATACAAAAGATGACACATGCATTCACACATTCACAAGCCCTAACCCTGAATCTGTAGCATGTGTCACAACAAGAGATATAACATGAAAGTAAAACAGATAACAAATGCCCTAAAGGCTTACAACTTTGCATGACAATGCTTGGTTACAACAAAAGTGGATTTAAATCCAATACAAATAAAGGCCCTTAGCCTGTACAAAGCATATATAACAATTAAACAAAAATCATCATCACCTAAAAATGTTTTTTCCACATAGGATGAGTCAAAACCCAGTAGAAATAATCCAACACAGTATATGAATCTTAACAAAGATATATGGTGAATGCATATCAAATGCTCGTGCCAAAACATTTATATCTTTTTCCAAAACCATGCAATGCAAGGTTAGAAATCATGATTCATAAATCGTTTCCTTTACAATAGAAAATAGGGCCGTGAATCACACTCTGGGAATCTCAAACAATACAACATTTTACAAAAATTTAGTCCGCGGGAAACCGTAAACCGGCACCCATGTAAACGTAGGTTATACAAGCACTACTCTTGCCATTTCACGGAAATTTTGTCCGTAGGATCAGCACCCATGTATACGCGCGGTTTTTAGGACTTTCACTATGGACACTCAGGCCAACTTATTTCAACGAGATGACACATACTTCCCAAATTCACCAATTTTCTCAAAACAATAAACATTGCCAATGTATAAACATGAAATAATGCTTGGTGCCAATGTATGAGAAAATAGTTTCAATTCTCTTAATTCTTATGCAATTTCTACAACAATCATAGCTTTCTTTCACCAATAGTCGAAAACAGATATCTCTAAACAGATAAATAATTTCCATAAAGATAAACTTTCCAAATTTCAAGATGTAAATGATAACACATATCCAACTCCACCATTCTCATCAATATCAACCCAATTTCACATTTCCAACATCAATTCCAATTATTTATACAAAATCAACATTTAAGACATTTAAGGGGGAAAAAAAAAACCCCCCTTTACTTCAAAATCAATTCCAAGTATCAAAATCAACCGTTTTATCACATCTCCACCTCATTTTCAATTCTACAACCAATTTCAAGAAACCATTTGAAAATCCTTTTTTTGATCTTTAAACCAAAACCCTAGGTTTGTTCAAAGATCCCCAAATCACAATATGGTCTTAAAGATAGCAAATACATAAGTTAAAAATCATAAAAGAGTGCGGAGGATTCCTACCTCAAGCTTAGAAGATGAAAAAAGGAATGTAGAAACGAAATCCAAACTTTTTCTGATTAGAACGAAGCTCTAGATGTGCTCTACCTTTTTCTCAAAGGTACAAGGGAAGAAAAACCAATAGATCTAGGCGTATTTGTAGAGAGAAGGTAAGTTTTAGAAAGAGAAAGAGAGAGTATCAACTTAGGGATTTGAAATGTTTAAAGAGAGAGAGAGCGAGATGAAAAAGTGATGTAAAAAGTGACATTTATGGATTGATATACGTGCAGACCACTCGAGTGTAAGAAGTGTCGCTCAAGCATCCAAACACAAGATGTGACTACTCGAGCGCAAGAAGTTGTCGGTCAAGCGTAAAATACAAACTCTCAGTGGTTTTACAGACAAAGAACCACCGCTCGAGCACAAGAAGTCTCGCTCAAGCGCAACAAGTTTCGCTCAAGCTAAGAATACCACCTCCTAGTAGTTTTGTAAACCTACAAAAGTACTGAGAGTTCACAAAGACCGCTCGAGCGCAATAAGTGCCGCTCGAGCGAAGGAGCAAAATTCTAGGCAACAACATTTTGAAAAACAAGCTACCAACCTCTTCCAAATGCAACCAACATATCCCAAAAGCCACACTCAAAGAGAAATAAGGGGAAAACAAGGCATGAACAACTATATAAGACAATGAAACCTAGATTCAGGACAACAAATGGGTCAGATCTAAACTAGAACCGCTATAAGTACAAGGCCTGATATCTGTCATGTAGTAGGATTGGTAAGTCGATTTCAATCCAATCTAGGTAAGGAACATTGGCAAGCAGTTAAAAGAATATTAAGATATCTAAAGGTACCAAGGGTTTAAAATTGTGTTTTGGTTTCTATGATCTAGAAATAAAAGGATACATTAACGTAGATTTTGCAGAAGATGCAGATGATATAAAATCTACTAGTGATTATGTGTTCCTATTTAGTGGAACAACAGTTTCTTGGTTAAGTAAGAAATAGAGTTGTGTTGCAAAGTATATTATGGAAGTTGAGTACATAGCTTGTAGCACAATGGTTAGTAATGTAGTCTGGATAAAGCGATTTGTTGGCAGTTTACAATTAGGTATACCTAATAAACCAGTCAATGTGTTCTATGACAATCAATATGCCATCTCATTAATAAAAAGTGGAGTAAATAGCTCTAAGGAAAAACATATTGATGTAAGTTATCATTATATTCAAGATATAGTGGAGAGACAAGAAATAAAAGTTGACTATATACCTTCAAAAGAGATGGTGGCCGACCCTATGACCAAAGAGTTGTCTCTGGAAATATTTAGAGAACATGTAGCTAATATGGGATTGAAAAATGCCTAGCTAGGTGATTTAGCTACTTATATAAGAGCATAGTCGGATGACTTTAGGGACACCTGGATAATTGAAGTTATGAAACTCTATCTTGCATAGAAACATCTGTTTGGTCAGGTAATAAGGTACAAGAACTGACAAGGTACGAACATCATAGTTAGCATGAGATGTAAAGTATATGATATGCAACATGCTGACTAGGTGATGTTGTCTGCTTGATCAGTAAAAAGTCGCTGATAAGGTGTGTTAAGGAAAACCTTCAGGAACAAGCCTTAGAAGGTAGTACTTAACAATAATTTCGGCTTAAGTCGACACATGAGGAATGTGTGTGCCTGAAATCAATGGTGATTGGGTATGGACTATGAACCCAACACTGAAAATTGATGTCGTTCACTTGAAATATAGTAAATTGAAGTCATCTGGAATGTGTTGTCAGTGGAAGAACACATTTGTACGGATGCGGTCAGATTGGTGGCAAAAACGTGTGCATGTATAGCCAGGTCACAATCGGACGTCGATCTATGAGGTAAATTCATAGATGAAAGTTGGCATGAGGCAACATTTTGCTACCAACATTTTGGTACCAAGGTAAACATGTCCAACTCAGGTTCTATCACATTGTTATAGTGTGATCAAGTGGGAGATGAAGGTATGAGAGATGATCACACCATAATTCGATGGACTCTGTCACACCTAATCAAACCTTGCTTGGTTGGAGAACCTTCCCACACAAGATGAAGCTGTTAGAATTGATGCAAATTCAAATCCTAAAGGACACAACTGTGTGAATGAAGGCACTTGTTCGAATGGTCTTAACCTTTAGGAATAGATGCATTCAACATCTACAAATAGGTGATGTTATCAGAGTGTATTTTATTTTATTTTATTTTTACTTCCAACTCTTTCATTCTCTTGCTTCCATTGTAGTCCGAATCTTGTGTGTGATAAATACCCTCATGGGAACTCCGGTCAATTTATCATTGTAAAGTTTATATTTCGGTTTTGTTGGCTTGAATTTTTCAAATTAGGATTGTTCCTCATCAGGGGATTTATTTAGGGGCCAACCTAAACTTTGTGTAGCAGTAAGTCGGAGCCTTTCCATGATTTAATAGACCGCTTTCACCAAAAACTGATGGAAATGCAAATGCCTTAGTTTTGCATGCAAATGTACCTTGGTCAAACATGTTATCCAATCTATTCTTATTTATACTCTCTTTCTTTAAATTGTCAGGCTTTTTTCTTAAACAA